TGCCATGGCCGCCTCTCTCTCTAAGGTTTTTCTTTTGTTTGCTTTTTCTTTTCTTTCTCTTTATCTCTTTATCTCTGTTTTCTTTTTCTTTTTATTTATTTTATCTGATGTGGCATGCCATGTTAGATAAGTAATAGCGACTTGGACTGCCATGTTGGATAATTAATGGTGACTTGGACGATCATGATGTATTTGAGATTTGGATGAAAGTTGAGAATTTATTTTGAGACAAAAAAAAGTTCATAATAGATTTGAGATTAAATCTAAAATTTAAAATTTTTTAGGGAATTAAATCGAGAAAAGCCAATTTATTTATGAAGCTTGTCATAAATAAATAAGACTGGAAATTCGAGCTCGGAGGAGGTGGAGAGGAAGTAGTCCGCCGAGGGAAAAAATAGAGCAGCATTAAAGTGGCTGTTCTGGATGTTCCATTTCCCCATACCAGAGCAGCCTATTTCAACCTTGAAAAAAGAGAAAAGAGGAGGAAAAATGGTGAAAATCAAATCAACAATAATATCGTGCCTTCCCCATGACCATCACTTCAGCTCATCCCTATTCTCCTCTCACCTAACCCTAATTTCTCTACACCGAAAAAAAACCAAAGCATAAAACGGAGCAGCGAGAGAGTAGGGATTCAAAAGAGCGTCGTCCTCACGCCAGAGAAGCGGGACGCGAAGGAGATGATGGCGCGAAGGGCGTCGTCGTTGGCACCGGAGAAGCGCTCTAGCGGGATGCGGAGGTGATGACGGCATCGAGGGCGTCGTCCTCGGCGCCAGAGAAGCGGGACGCAAAGGAGATGACTGTCGCCGGAGAAGCGCGAGGTGAAGGAGATGACGGCGTGTAGCCTCTCATCTTCCCCTACACCTTCTTCTTCATCGCCACGCTCATCTCTCTCGGTGACGAAGGGACTCGCGTATCGCCGGCGTGTCCGGCGCGTTGATCACGTATCGGATATTCGACACCTGTTGACCACGTGTCGGAGCGTGTCCGAGCATGTCGGATGCGTCCGACACGGACACGCCGGCCTTTTGAACGTATCGGTGCTACATAGGTGACAATCCACTAGCACAACCGTCAAGTAGTATTTTGCAACAGTCACGTCCGGCGCCGGTGAGTGGTAATCGCCTAGTACGACAGTCACATGAGGCGCGGGTGTGTAGTAGTCGGCCGGCACAAGTGACTGTGCAAGAGCCACTACCAGGGCAGTTACGGAGTACTCCCCTGGCACGATTGTCACATCGGGCGCCGGCGTGGAATACTCCGCTGCCACGATCGTCATGCTGGCGCCGACGCAGAGCACTCTGCCGGCACAATTGTCGACGCAGCAGAGACTGGCGCAATTGTCGACTCAGCGGAGACCCGCACAAAGTACTCCGATGCTGGCACAATTGTCGACGCAGCAAAGACCGTCGCAGAGTACTCCGCTGCTGGTGGCACAATCGTCACATCGGGGGCCGGCGTGGGCGACGACGTCGGTCGGACAGGGTTTGATGTTTGAAAAGATTCTCTTTTTCGGTTTGGTAGGCGGGTTTTCTTGATTGCATTTTCATTGGCTTATATTAGCTTGAGAGTTTGTGGATCCACCGATTAATTTTTCTCTCTACCTACTCATGTTCGCATTCAAGTTTTTGTTTATGGTCCAACCCAAGTGCTCTTTTCAAGCTACCGGGGAACTCCTCAAATGTAACATGCTTGGGTGCACTTGAAATTGACACCTCTTCGTCTTTGGCCTAATTCCAAAAAAAACCCCAAACTTTACACTTTGTCCCAATTATACCCTGAACTTTTTTTTGTCTCAAGAAAAACCTCAAACTTTTCTCCGAGTCCCAAATCTACCCTACCGTTATAACTCTGTCCAATTAACGTCAGAAAAAAAAAAAAAAACAGAACAGCAGCTGCGGCGTGGCCAAGCCTTCGCCGGTGGCCGCCGCCACGCCCGCCGGGAAGGAGCGGCGGCCCTCACCCGGGCCTTCCCGAAGGCCGGCGACCTCGCGGTCCCGGCGAGTCGCCGGCGAGGGCTGCAGCCCCCCGATCTCGGGCGAAGGTCGCGCCCTCCCCGGATCGGGGGCGCAGCCCTCGCCGGCGACTCGCCCGAAGGCCGACAAGAGGCCCAACCGAGGCCTCGCCCAAGGTGGGCGACCCCAGGCGAGGCCTTGCCCAGGGTGGGCGACCCCAGGCGAGGCCTCGCCTGGGGTCGGCGGCCCTCGCCTGGGCCTTCCCGAAGGCCCAGGTGAGGGCCGCCGCTCCTTCCCCGGCGGGCCGTGGCGGCGGCCACCGGCGAAGGCTTGGCCACGCCACAGCTGCTGTTCTGTTTTTTTTTTTTTTTTTTTCTGACGTTAATTGGACAGAGTTATAACGGTAGGGTAGATTTGGGACTCGGAGAAAAGTTTGAGGTTTTTCTTGAGACAAAAAAAAGTTCAGGGTATAATTGGGATAAAGTGTAAAGTTTGGGGTTTTTTTTGGAATTAGGCCCTTCGTCTTTACTAACCTCCCTTTTATCCGACTTCCGCAATAGAAACTAAATGCAATAATCAGATGACTCATTTTCAACTCTCGTTCTCGTGCACTCCTACTGTCCTTATCCAAACACTGGAAATACCGAAAAATTGTCATTTTCTTAAAAAATGACTTTTTAAAAATCTTTTTTAGATATACAAAACATTATTTGCTAAACAAACGGAGCCTTAGAGAAGAAAATTGCTATTTACATAAAAGTAGGTTGGCCTTTCAACCATATCGTTCCGAGGGTCCAATATATAGAATGCGAAAATCAACTTTTCATCAGACGACATCCATACGTAATATCATGTTCTTGAGCAACATGCAGTACATGTAGCATTATCAGAAAAGAGAACGAGTCATCTTCATGGGGTCTTTACTTTTGAAAGAAGAGTTTACGCTGAGGTGACAACCAATGAGCACGTCACATGAGCAAATTGAAATTTGTATGTCAAATTAATTTTCTTGTTGTTTTTTCCATTCATTGCTTCCACTAATTAAGAGTCAATTTCAGTTTATTGAGAGATTTGTATCTATGTTATGGATCTATTTTCCAGAATATTTAAATTTGTAGTACGAATATAACAATGGAACACGGGACAAGTCCTTTAATGTCATTCTATATCTGTTTGGGTATTAGTATTCTTGCCTCCACTTAGTCGTTCGATGCAGCGACATTTGCATCCTGCAGTTCATGTGTTAGGCCAACCAACACGCGAAGAAAGTGTTAGAAACCATATGATATACGATGAATTTGTATTTCGGACAACTTAAACTATCCACTAATGATTGTCATGTATGATGAAGTACATAGAAGCGATAAAAAATTTCAATGACGAAGAAGCTCACATTAGCTAGCTAGGTTAATCTTCAGCCGATGAAATGCCGTACTTATTAATCTCAATAATTGGATAATATGGAAGCGACAATATAAGTGATTAATCCAAATATTAAATTAACTACTCTTAATGGTGTGGAGATTCGAACATGTCCTCATCTAAATATTAAATTATCTACACAAAAACTGACAGGTAAAAATTCCACAAATGCCATTACTTTTATACAGCAGCAATTACTTCAATGCCAAAACTTTTCGAGCAATCACTCGAGTGCTACATTTGTTAAAAATTATTTACTTGAACGCCATCGACGATTTGTCTTGCTGAATTTTTGACGTGACATTAATTTATTATATAACATTCAACCCCAGCAAGACGAAGTCAACAAACAAGTCTCTACATGCCGTCATTACAGATTTGTTTGCCCCAAATTAAAGAAATTGGGCAAAATTTGAGTGTGTTCTCGAAGAACTTTAACCCCAATTCATCAAATTGGGGCAAAGTCACCTTATTCCTATTCTTCAGGCCATATGTAAAATACTACTTTGCTTTGATGTTGATTCTTTTATGTAACATTTCTATTCATTTATATGACAATGGGACAACACGAGGCCCTATCCCGGATGGGGAAAAATTTCTCCTTAAAGAATGCCCTGCCGGGCATCTGGTAAGGCAACAAGTGGAGCAAGATGAGGTAGGTAAAAGCAAAGTTAGATTTTATGGACTAAAGTTACAAACTTAGAATATTACAAAATTTAATAGGTCATAATTTAAAAAGAAGATGGGAGAAGAAGCGGCGGTAATGGGAAACAAAACATGAGGGAGAAAAAATATGCTTAATTAATGATTCATCACTGTGCAAAGTAGAAGGATATTTTAGTTAGTTAGAGATAAAAATAGAAGGTGAAGAATAGCAATGGGAAAGATAAAACTAGGGCACCCACCCATAGGTAGCTCAGTTGGTTCGGGCGTACTTGGGATTGTGTGGTTAGGCGCACTGGTCCCAAGTTCGATTCCTCAGCTGAGCACTTGTGATTTAAGTGGGGGGCCATGGCGGTGGGTTGCTGTGCTAGTCTCTCCCGATGAATAGTCGAGGTGCGCGTAAGCTGGCCCGGACACCAAAAAAAAAAAAAAAACTAGGGCGAATGGGTGATTGATGTTGTTTCCTAACATGTACGGTTATTTTAGTCAATCAAAAATAAATGGTGTGTATCAAGCCAAAGAGGGGGTGAATAGAGTTGCCCTTTTTTGGTCAAAAAAATAAAAATAAAACACTATATAGATTTCGCTGGAGGCTGAATATTTAAATCGAAGAAGATATTCCTGCATCTAAATTATAAAAATAAAAGCTAAACAAAAGTAGTTTTCAAAAAAGAAATTTTCCGTGGTCCACATATTTTAGTACTAAATGCGTAAATTAATCTTTTATGCATACATAGATTCCATTTAGAAATATATGTAGGATGAAACTTTAAGTTGATCAAATCATTCTATAAATAGATTTTTCGTAACAAGGTAGTGAAACATAATTTTGAATAGTAATTGTTCATATACTTTGAGGAAATACATTATCGCATTTGCCCAGCTACAACCAACTATAACGAAGACAAATATGCGTAAATTAAATTCGTCAATCACATGATCTCGTCCAATAATTATGCCTCACTTCCGTATGCCCTCGACACGAAAGATGCTAGGTCCATAAGTGGATTTAACCATTTGGAATAGCAGGGGAAGTTGAAGTACTATGAATAAAGTCACGGGAAGAGAGTTCGGCAAAGTAATGGGAATAACAACCCACTCCAATGTCTTATCCAGCACAAACGTGAGAGTTGCAGCGAAGGCCACCAGCATGAAAGTCAAGGAGAGGAAGAGAGAAGAAAGGCTCATTATGATCTTCTTATTGTCAAGAAAATCTAGCGGCTCATCCCGCGAAGTTAAGATGGCTAAGAATACAACGATGGCCATTACGGAGCAGAGCAAACCTAACCCATCTGAAATTGGAAAAACTAGGATAGAGTCCTTTAATGGGAATCCATTATTGTCATTATTGGTTCCAGGCACAGTGAAAGTAACAGCGAACAACACTGTGGCAATTAGAGTTGAGACGAACATACATTTATCTGCCGTCTCCTTCACCCACTTCTGTCCATTCTCAAGCAACTTTTTGTGATTCTCCACAAACATTTGCCAGTATGTTATTTGTTTGGGCCCTGAGCTGGCGGTTCCCATGTCAGGGGTAATCCAACTTTCCATAGCGTATGCACAAAAAATCACAAACATGAGTTACAATAACTGGATAAATTATTGAAAATTTTCAAAAAATGACAAAGGAACTGTTGGAGAAAGGATTTGATTTGATCCTTTGAGTCCACTAATTGATTCAGACAATCGGCACAATCGGCATTAAGGAATATTGATGGAATATTCAGAAGATTAAATAGGAAAATGACATCATGTTTATTTATTTCCTGATTGCTTATTGTACAATAAATACAGCCATGTACATGTACAAATACATATTGAGAAATACAAATTTTATATTCCTCCTCTTCAATTTTTGTCATGGTATCAAAGCAGTACTTCCTGGTCTAACTTTCGCTACCTTAGAATTGCCTCCGGTTGGTTTCTGACTTGTTGTTGCGATCCCAATTCTGCAAAACAAATCAGCACCCGAGTAGGAATTCAATTTTTTTTTTATATCATACCGAATACCGACAATTCTTCAATGGAGGAAACCCCTAACTCGACTCAACATCAAGATTCAGATCTGGTTGATCCGAATGAAGAGGAGCGGTCTTTCGCGCGGCACTCGCCGGATCTGCTCCTGCTCCCGTTCAATCTGCTCCTGTTCCAGCCGATTCCTAGTTCAACCCAGTGGCCTCCGAGTTCATTGGTATCCTATTCAAGGACAATGGGCCATCGGGCCAAGTCGACAAGGGCACAACATGGTCCACTTGGAGAGGATGGCATTCCTGCACCGTGGAACTCCCCTTCCGCGGGAGACCAATTCGAATGGAGGACCGGGTTGGACAGCCCCGAATCACGGACCCGGATCCTTTACACTGGGTTTAGGGACGAATCCCTACCCGGCTTTCCAACCCGGATTTCTGCCCTACTCGTTCCCAGTCAGCAGCGGCCGCCCCGAGCCCGGCGACACCCTCTATACGTCACCGGCCGACGGACCAGAGCTGCGGCTCATCAACCTACAGCTCACCGGACCGGACAACTACAACACTTGGGCTCGGGACTTCCGACGAGCTCTTGTTACGAAAGACAAGGACGGCTTCCTCGACGGAGCCGTCACTTTTCCGACCGAAGAACGACTCCAATGGCATTGGCGGAAGTGCAATCAGTTGGTTCGCACTTGGATCGGAAATTGCCTCGCTTCCGACGTCGCGGCCGGACTCCCACCAACCGAGGATTCGAAGGTAATGTGGGAGAACATCCGTGAAATGTATGGGCGCCTTGACCGAGCGAAGCTATTTACAATCACTCAAGCCTTGTCGGAATTGAAGCAAGGGAACCTTTCGGTCACTGCTTGCTTCAACCGACTCTCGGCTCTGTGGAACGAGCTCGAGGCGGCCGAGGAACAGTTGGAGGGATCCGAGGCTACACTCCGACAATATCGAGCAATGAAGGACAGGGAGAAAGTAACACGATTCTTACTCATTCTGAATGAAACATACTCACATTTTAGGTCGCAGATATTGGCGATGGAGCCAATGCCACCGCTCGGCCGGATCTATCAACTGGCCGTCCAAGAGGAGAGCCAGCGACTGGCCACAGCCGAGCACGGACGAGTTGAGAGCATCACTCTCACAGCACCATCGGAACCACCATATCGGAGCGTTACAAGCATCGTCGGAAGCCATGGGAGTGTTCCACCTTTGGGGCTTCATCAAGCGGCGTGGAGCAGAAAAGAAGAGGAGAACCCTAGAAGTTCTTTTCGAACGGACGGTCAAGATCAAAAGGTTGGATCCAACGGCCATCATTTGATCAGTCACTTGAGCGAATCGAATGGCTATTATCAGGCCACGTCAGCCCCTGCTTTCAAGCCATCTCATGGCCCACGAAGTGCCACATCATCACAAAGAGGAAGTGGGCCAAATTCCAAAAATAAAGGTAAATACTGTGAATATTGCAAGCGCCCATATCACACTATTGATACGTGCTGGAAATTGCATGGAAAACCAAATGACAAAGAAAAAAAGGAGAAAGATTTTTCAGCTTACCAAGTTTTGGCACAAGGGACTGAAAGGGCAAATCAGACCATTACTCATGATCAGTATCAACATATTATGAGGACTCTGAATCAATTAAAGAATACCGACAAAAGTGCAAGTTTTTCAGGTATTTCTTTCTGCAATAACAATGCTGTTTCAGTTGATGCATGGATAATTGATTCAGGCGCTAGTGACCATATAATCTGTGATGAACACATTTTTTCTGATGTTCACAAGAAAATTCATTCTTCTGTGACTGTTCGTCTTCCCAATGGTACCATCACTCATGTTACCAAAATTGGAACTGTCCATCTTAGTCCAAACATTATCCTAAAAAATGTCCTCTACATTCCTGAATTTGAATTCAATCTCATATCTGTTTCTAAGATTTGTGAAGACAACTCTTGTCGCGTCATATTCAATTCAGAAAATTGCTTCTTTCAGGACCATTCGACTGGCAAACTGATGGGCTTGGGTAGTGTTGCGCAAGGACTATATTTTTGGATAAGCTTTCCAAAGGATTTTGATTTATCAAAAAGCATTTCATGTAATGCTACCACTAGCAATAAAAATTTTCTTTCTCATAGGCGTTTGGGTCATAGTGCTCGTTTTCCTTATCCAAACTGTACAATCTGCCCTTTGGCAAAGCAATCACGAGCACCGTTTCCAAAAAGCACATCTCGAGCTACTAGTATTTTTTCTCTAATTCATGTAGACATCTGGGGTCCCTATCACACTCCACATCATGATGGGTCTCGGTATTTTCTAACAATTGTCGATGATTATACTCGCGCTACTTGGGTGTTCCTCATGCAATCCAAGAACCAAACCTTTTCCAATCTGTCGAATTTCTTTTCCTTGATCAAGAATCAATTCCATAAATCCATTCAAAGAATTCGCACAGACAATGGGCGTGAATTTTTCACTACAGAGTGCAAATCTTTTCTTGCTTCTCATGGGATACTTCACGAAAGCTCTTGCACATACACTCCCCAACAAAATGGGATTGTAGAACGTAAACATCGCCATCTCTTAGAAGTAGCTCGAGCACTTAAATACCAAGCCTCCATTCCTGAAACCTTTTAGGGAGATTGTGTGGTTACAGCGGCCTATTTGATCAATCGCATGCCAACTCGAATTCTTGAAGGACGAACTCCTTTTGAGATGCTCTTTGGGAAACAACCAGAGATTGGACATCTAAGAGTATTTGGCTGTTTATGTTATGCGACGACTGTGGGCCCTCGGGACAAAATGGATCCTCGTGCCCTCCTATGTGTTTTCATGGGATATCCTCCTCTACAGAAAGGATACAGGGTTATGGAGATATCTACAGGTCGCTTCTTTGTTAGCCGAGATGTTGTTTTTTATGAAGATATATTTCCGTTCGAGGATTTGACATCTTCATCTCATACGTTTATATCGGAGCCAAATCATCGTCAGTTCTTATCAGAAGAAGATTTATCTGCAACCCCACAATACATCTTCGTTCCACCGATTCAGATGTCAACAATTCCTGAATCATCAAACCAAGCAGTCGATTCCCCAGTAGCTTTACATGAGGAGGACACTTCATCTGCTTCGCTTGCACAGCCACATATTGAATCTTCTTTATCACCCCTGGAACGATCGATTGCCGAGCAACCCCGACGCTCGAGACGTCCTGTTCGTCCACCTACATGGACTAAAGACTATATATGCCCTACATTGGAGTCTCAAGGTACACATTATCCTGTTTCTTCATACGTCTCTTTTAGTCGACTGTCACCAGAGCACATGTGTTATATTAGTCGCATATCTGAAGAACAGGAACCAACTTCTTATGAAGAAGCGGCATGTGACCTACGCTGGCAACAGGCTATGAAGGTCGAACTAGATGCCCTTATTAAAAATCATAATTGGGACATAGTTCCATTGCCTTCACATAGGAAATCAATTGGCTGCAAATGGGTATATAAAATCAAATACAAGGCAGATGGTTCAGTTGAACGCTACAAGGCTCGACTAGTTGCGAAAGGATTCACACAACGGAAAGGTTTTGACTATCATGAAACATTTTCTCCCGTTGCCAAAGAGGTGACTGTGCGTTCTTTTCTATCCATTGCTGCATTTCGTAATTGGCAGTTGCATCAAATGGACGTTCATAATGCTTTCCTTCATGGTGATCTAGACGAAGAAATCTACATGGAACTTCCACAGGGTTTACGACGACAGGGGGAGTCTCGGGTATGTCGTCTTCGTAAATCCCTATATGGACTTAAGCAGGCTTCTCGACAGTGGTATGCAAAATTCACCAATGCACTCATGCATGCGGGCTTTAAGCACTCCAAGCATGACTATGCTTTATTCACATGGACCAAAGGTGCTTCATCAATTTATTTGTTAATATATGTTGATGACATACTCATTATGGGAAATGATGATTCTGCCATTAGAAATTTCAAGGATTATCTGCATTCTACTTTCCATATCAAAGATTTGGGACCTCCCAAATATTTCCTTGGTATTGAGATAGCTCGATCGGACAAAGGAATATCACTCAGTCAGCGGAAATTCGTTTTGGAAATCATATCAGAAGCAGGATTATCAGGATGTAGGCCGGCTGTCATTCCTATTGAACAGAATGTCAAGCTTACAACGCTTGAATATGATACGAGTTTATCATCGTCTAATGAGGATCCATTGCTTAAAGACCCATCAGGATATCAGCGACTTGTGGGAAAATTAATATATCTCACCATGACTAGACCTGATATATGTTATGTAGTGCAGATACTCAGCCAATTCATGCATAGTCCGAAGCAGTCCCATATGACAGCAGCATTGAAGGTTGTAAAGTATTTGAAGGGATGCCCAGGACTTGGAATTCTCTTATCTCGTGATTGCGACATGAAGATGACAGCTTATTGTGATACGGATTACGCTACTTGCCCGATGACCAGAAGATCTATCACAGGCTTTTGCATTAAATTGGGAAGATCCTTGATTTCATGGAAGACAAAGAAGCAATCAACCGTCTCATTGTCATCAGCC